GTCTATAAGAAAGAGTCCATCCTTCCCCAGTCAAGGATGACAAAAGCAGCCAATCTGAGTGTGATTCTGGTTGCTTTGTCAGCATGGGAGCATGGGACCAAACAGTAACACTAAAGCACAGCCAGTAATTCATTGACCCTGATATGGTGCTCATTCCAAGGAAATACAGGGCCTTTGTGCTTTCCAGTAGCTCATATGGGGAGTAACAGAGGGAAGAGGATTATACGGTCAGGAAAGAAACAGGCTTATGGGCCTGGGGATTTAGTTCGGCTGGCAAACTGTTACCAAGGATGCAAGGACCCCTTGGTTTGATCCCCAGGGTCACACAGAGTGGCTGTGATGGTACAGCCTGTAATCCAAGCACTTGGGAGATGGAGGCACTAGAATCAGAAGTTCAAGGTCATCCTCAGCTACATAGTGAGAGAGCAAGTTGGAGGCCAGCCTGTTCTCTTCCAGAGGACCCAGGTTCAATTGCCAGCACTTCCACGACAGCTTACAACTGGCTGACTCCAGTGTCAAGGGGCCCACTGCCCTCTTCTTGTTTCTGAAGTCACTAGGCACTCACAGGACACATGTCCACAGGAGAACGCCTGCTGCTCTGAACTGCTGAGCAATCTCTTCGGCTCCCTTATCTAATTTCTATTCGATAAACTATTGCCTCCTGTTCTCTTCCTTTTCTTTATTTTTTTTCTTTTTGAGACAGTGTCTGACGTGCCCAGGCTGTCCTCCCACTTGCAGACTTTAAAACATCCTGTGTTAGCTGCTTTCTTATTGCTGTAAAAACCCATCACGACCAAGGTAACTTATAGAAGAAAGCATTTAATTGGGCTGACATTTCCAGATGGCTAGAGTCATGATGGTGGGACAAGGCATCAGAGCAGGGCAGCTGATAGCTCTCGTCTCAAGCCACAGGCACAAGGTGCAGAGAACTAGCTTGAACTAGCATCAAGGACTGCAAGGAAAGACGAGCCACCCCAGGCCAGTGTTGCCGCCCTTACTCGACAGTTGTTGACGGAGAATGTTTTAGTGTTTGACCCAGCTTCTCAGCCAAGCAACCTCAAAGCCCACCTCCACCTCCTCCAACAAAGCCAAACCTCCCAATCCTTCCCCTACAGTCCCAGCACCTGGGGTCCAAGTAATCAAATGTAGGAGCCCATGGGGGCCACTCTCATTTAAACCACCACACACCCATAACACTAAATAAATACATATGAAAATTAAAGTTAGATGACTGCTTCAGTTCATAGTCAAGCACTTAACATGTTATTTTGTTTCAGCAAGGTTCTCCAAGCAAGGAAAAGTGAAAATATGCCAACTTTTTGAAGACAGGCAGCTGCTTCTTGCACAAAGTCAGGGAGAGAGGGAAGACAGAAGAATTAAGGGAAAATAAGTTCCCATCTGCCCAGTACCAATGCTGGATGCCACCACTGACTCCTTGCCATTACCTATAGCTGGAACATAATTTGTGAGAATGACTGGAGAATGGATATTACACTGAAGTTGTTTACCTCTGAGTCATTTAAAAACATCCTCCAGATAATTTAACTTCAAAAAGAATTCATCTTAGATTAACATTGGATTTTTAGATTTGGGGTTTCTGAAAGAGTTCCAGGCAGTGAAAGTAATTCATCTATTGTAGACTTCCTGGGTTTTGTTAAACCAAAGGTGCATGTTTTTATGTCAAAACCATTGGTGGGGCTGGGGAGACGGCTCAGTGGTTAAGGAGCACTCGCTGCTCTTGCACAGGACTCGGTTCAGTGCCCAGCACCCACATGGTAGCTCACAACTGTCTACAATTCTAGTTGCAGGGAATCGGATGTCCTCTTCTAGCCTTCAAGGGCAACAGGCTTGCACATAGTGCACAGACATGTGTGCAGGCAAAACACTCACACACAACATAAAAACAAATCAATCTTTTTCAAAATTAAAAACTGTTGTCCTTTGTAATTGTGCCTGAGCCTTCTTTTACTTACTTTTTATATTTTTGATGGATTGATTGACTGCAGTGCTTGGGAGTGAATTCAGGGCCTTGTATACTCGGGCAAGATCTCTGCTGCTGTGCTGTATTCCCAGCCCCTGAGTCTCCTTTTATAGTGTGCTTCTTTAGTTTTGTTTTTTTCACCCTATTGATATGATAAAATAGTTCGACAGGAGCAAATTAAGGGAGAACAGGTTTATTCTGGTTCACAGCTTAAGAGTTAGCACATGGCGCCAGG